TTGGAAAAAAGAATACGTTTTCTATTTAAACACTTTGTAACCATAAGTAACCAATGTAACCCTTGTATCCATGTATCCCATTCTTAACAGGGGTGAAAAAGAATTGTGTTTTTAGGACATATCTATCCATATCTGTGCAACAAAATAGTACAAACAAGGTAAAAATTTAAAACATGGCTGACGAATCGAAATCACCTGTAAGAGATTGGAAATGAACATAGTATATTTACCTCAATGTTACAGGGAATTTTAAATACTGGTGTAGGCTAGGAAGAAAACCCCTGATTCTACAGTATGTCGTTTAACCCGGTTAGAACTATATCTATAGAAAGTAGTTCTTTTAATTTTTGAAGTGGTCCAGTTTAAGTTCTCTCTAGTTTGATTGGTCAAAAAGTTTTTGTGTGTCATTGGATGACTTTAAAAGTTGTTTTTTGTGTATTCTCAAAGAACTCATTTTTTGGCGGAAAGATTAAAAATGTACTACCCACAGGCAGTCAAAAGTTTTCAAAGTGGTGAATTTAAACAGTCTTACAACAGAATGAAGATTTCTGAAAAAAATAGATGGCTAACATGTTATTTGACATAGATAGTGTTGGTGTTTAAAGTTGAAGACAGTATATAACTCATCAGGAACAGTGGAATCGGTAATTATGCCTCAAATGTGACTGATTCACTATAGAACAAAGCATACGAAAACTCACTAGGCCGACTCCCTAAATAACGCACAAATATATTTAGTACTACGGAACCTATTTAGATACCGGCGAGATACGGAATATAGTCAAATTAGAGGGAGATAACTGTCATTGATGGCCATAAGAGAGACCCAAAATATCGGCGGTAGTTTTAAAACGGATAATTTTCTTTATTGATTATTATAGTTGTTATTTTGTATAATTTTAGGTTTCTTTATCTATGTTATACTATTGTGAAAAAATTAGGCTATTTTGGATTGGGAATTGGTCTGTCATTGCCCCACGGCAAATTACAGGGTGAAAATCCATGGAGATCACATGTCCCCAACCTTGATCTGTTCAGACTGTTGATAGCGAGCTCAACGAGCTGGCCCGAAGGGCCTGCTCGCAAAGCGAGCTTTACGGTAACGCGAGTACCTGCTAAGTGATGGTTTTGAAAACTTTCGTCCAAAGTACCGAATTTGGACACATCGCAACCTTTCGAATTTAAAGATAACGATAAAAACTGAGGAATTCTGACTGAAAACGGATGTGTAGACTGGTCACCCGCGCACGTCTATGGGAACCATAATTGGACAGGGAACCAGAATAACGGAAGCTGTGTATAAAATATCGAATGATAAAATGAAAATCGAAGGCGCCATTTTGTTTGAAATCTGATAAATAAAAACAATTTTTTGACGAATTTTGTTGTGAAAACTATCTAGAATGAAAGAAAATGGTCTAACTAAGAAAATTAATCCGAACACCAATATCTTTTATTCAGTCGTTAACGCTGTACAGACGTTTAAAGTATTGTTTACGTGACGTCACAATGTAGCGCCAAACAGCACGTGCAAAACAAACAAATCAAGTACGCTATTTTAATGTCGCAAACGTTTTAAGTTTTACATTTATTTCACTTTAAATAATCTTTATTTCGCTTGAAAAAATATAGAGTGAAATAAAATAAACAAAGTTTTATCAACGTTTTCAAAACTCGTTATTCATTTCACGACAGGGGCGGAGCCATATTTAACACAGTACGTGTGACGTCACACGCACTCGTTAATGCATTTGAAATAAAAATGAGCGATCATTTCATACATACTATTTAGTAAGGGTGTAACGGTTTACCGGTATACCGATATATTGCAATATGAAAAAATAAATTTCGAACCGCGTTACGATTTTTGGAAAACCGGTATTTTATAAAAATCATCATTTTCAATTAATTGCCTTCTAATTTTGTACAAATTTCACATAAAATCTTTAATTGGCAAATTTTGTTGGCGCCAACGTAAGATAAAAGTATCCAACAACTAGTACACTTAAAAGTCAATAAGCGGCCGCATAATTTACATAAGCGGCCCATATGTGAAAGGTCACACGCGACTAGTTTTCTTTATCAAATTGTGTGACACTTTTAACTTTCTATTTATTCCTTACATTTTTATTAAGTTTCTACTAAAAATATATACATATAATAATAATATATAAATGTCACTCCATCTTTACATCAAAACATATACACGACAATACGTATTGCAATATATTGCAATACGCTTCAGCAAAATGGCAATATATTGCAATACGGTTTTTGCTGTATTGTTACACCCCTACTATTTAGTACATCGAGCTCGCTTTGAGGCTTTGCCTGTTTCACATTAGCGAGCTCAACGAGCTGGCCCGAAGGGCCTGCTCGCAAAGCGAGCTTTACGGTAACGCGAGTACCTGCTAAGTGATGGTTTTGAAAACTTTCGTCCAAAGTACCGAATTTGGACACATCGCAACCTTTCGAATTTAAAGATAACGATAAAAACTGAGGAATTCTGACTGAAAACGGATGTGTAGACTGGTCACCCGCGCACGTCTATGGGAACCATAATTGGACAGGGAACCAGAATAACGGAAGCTGTGTATAAAATATCGAATGATAAAATGAAAATCGAAGGCGCCATTTTGTTTGAAATCTGATAAATAAAAACAATTTTTTGACGAATTTTGTTGTGAAAACTATCTAGAATGAAAGAAAATGGTCTAACTAAGAAAATTAATCCGAACACCAATATCTTTTATTCAGTCGTTAACGCTGTACAGACGTTTAAAGTATTGTTTACGTGACGTCACAATGTAGCGCCAAACAGCACGTGCAAAACAAACCAATCAAGTACGCTATTTTAATGTCGCAAACGTTTTAAGTTTTACATTTATTTCACTTTAAATAATCTTTATTTCGCTTGAAAAAATATAGAGTGAAATAAAATAAACAAAGTTTTATCAACGTTTTCAAAACTCGTTATTCATTTCACGACAGGGGCGGAGCCATATTTAACACAGTACGTGTGACGTCACACGCACTCGTTAATGCATTTGAAATAAAAATGAGCGATCATTTCATACATACTATTTAGTACATCGAGCTCGCTTTGAGGCTTTGCCTTTTTCATATTAATGTTATAGTGTGGAATTTATATAGGTGAGTCTGACCTAAATTTAGTGGCCTCATCCCTTTCAATCATTAAAATTTCATGACAACTAAATATAATAAACACTAACCTTTGTGTGCATACATGCCATAACGTCCCGGATGCCGGGATTGTCCCGGAAATCGGATGTCTGTCCCGGAGATGTCCCGGGCATCGATTTGATCCCGGAAAAAAAAATCATGATATTTTGCAAAATTTTCATAAATTTTCTTAAATCAAATCTCGCACATTTCACCTCTCGATCGTAAAACATATTCTGACCTGGTACACATAATACACGGGAACGTTGACACTTACAAGTTTACAATATACAGCCCCCCAATTATCGACTGTCGATTCCCCTCGGCAATAGCTTTCTTCATGCATCGGCAATTAACAGCGTTTAATGGTCGGGTTAATTAATGGTTTACGGCCCTTTACAATTATCGTTAATCCCCGATAATCATTAATTTTTAGATCAATCGCTAACTTGCCGAAAGTCTAATTATTACAAACAATGTAAATATATCTATCAAATAAAAAATTAAAGGTGTCAAATAAATCACCTTGCTGATTACAAACAATGTAAATATATCTATCAAATAAAAAATTAAAGGTGTCAAATAAATCACCTTGCTCAGCAAGGTGATTTATTTGACACCTTTAATTTTTTATTTGATAGATATATTTACATTGTTTGTAATAATATGCTGTGTTTGTTTTTATGACAGGAAGAATTGCATTACGTGACATGTAGTAATTATCACGACTTTAAGATATAACGGGTGAACAACATGGCTGCGCCCATTCACCGGGTTTATAATAAATAATAACTTAAAACTTACTTGCTTTTAGGGAATAATAAATGAAATAAAGAAGTACTATAAAAATGATAATTATGTCGACCTAAAAGACTACTTATAAAACTAGTAAGTTAACTATTTATCATTAAAATTCAGGAGGAAGTCGTCCTAATTAATAACGTTATATGATTGACACCCCCCCCCCCCCCTTTTCCACAACTGCCTACAACATCCATTATTGCCGCGATGAAAAGTGTCCCGGAAAGCTGTCCAAAAATTATGGCATGTATGTTTGTGTGAGAGGTCAAAATTAACAAGTTTGATTGGCTAACAAATAAATAACATCTCACTTTTTCACGTTTGGCGGGATTTGTAAAAAATATTCACTTCGGTCAGAGAAATTGTTTGAGAAGTATGGTCTCTGGAACCTGGGAACTTTCTCGTGCTTGTGTTTTATTTACATTCGTGATAAATCCTCTGCTTGAACAATTTTAGCGTTTTAAAACTGTTACTTTTATGTTTTGCAGTGCTTATTTAGTAATTCATTGTGCTTTGTGTATTTAAAATATTTTTTTTGTGTGTTTTTCTCCTTGTGTTTAGAGTAAATTTTTGTTTTTGAATTTTTTTCCCCCTCCAAAACATATCCCTTTGTTCACCCTCCAACCTGGTGATTTGCTTTCAGTAATAAGGGCAAGTTTAAAATTTAGAATATCTCATTCATATCAATAAAGGGGTTATTTTTTTTTCTTTTCTGTTGCACTGCACTTAATTGACTTATAACTTTTTATATAGTAATGCATGGTGAGAGTGATTAACAAATTTTAAAAGAAACTTTACAAGAAAACTCTGAATTTTCCTTCCAGTTATTTCCCTTGAATTGTGAAATATATATATTTTCACAGTAACAGGTTGTATAATAACAACTAAACTTGTATTTCAGATTTGCAGGTATAGTTTTTGAATTTTTATTAGTCCCCTACTGGTTTAACCGGAGGGGACTTTAGGTTTACCCTCCGTCCGTCTGTCTGTCTGTCCGAGTCCACAAAACTGGATCCCGCGATAACGCAAAAAGTACTGAAAATATTTTTATGAAACTTGATATATGGATAGATGGCAGTATGGAGATTATGTACGTCTTTTTTTTTTCTTCCTATGTTGAAAATTCTGGTTGCTATGGCAACAAATAGTCTGAAAATATGGCAAATTAAACACATAAACTGGATCCAGTGATAACTCAAAAAGTACTGAAAGTATTTTTATGAAACTTGAAATATGTGTAGATGGCAGTCTGGAGATTATGCACATCTTTTTCTTTTCTTCCTATGTTGAAAATTCTGGTTGCTATGGCAACAACCAGAATTTTCAACATATGGATCCAGTGATAACTCAAAAAGTACTGAAAATATTTTTATGAAACTTGAAATATGTGTAGATGGCAGTCTGGAGATTATGCACACCTTTTTCTTTTCTTCCTATGTTGAAAATTCTGGTTGCTATGGCAACAAATAGCCTGAATTTCAAGATTTCTGATTTAAATTTTTCAGCTTTTTCACTATATGTTCTTTATTTCTTAAGGTGTTTACTTCAAACTTTAAATATAAGTTTCTGGTCATCAACCACATCATATGTGACAAGGTTTATAACTCTAGCACAAAAAATATCAGTATTACCTCCCTTGAACTTAGATTTTTTAGGGGAAAAAATGTTGTCTTTTTTAAATAACTTCTTTATTTCCTAATGTATCTACTTCAAACTTCATATATATGTTTCTTATTATCACTCGACATTTTTGAGAAGGTTAAATACTCTAGCAAGACTTTTTCCAGAATTATGTCCCCCTTGAACTTAGATTTTTTTCGAGAAACTGGTATTTTCACTCCAACTTCTTCATTCCTTATAGGATTTACTTTAAAATCCCACATCGTAATAATATGACAAGGTTGTATAAACATAATTTCCTTACTAAGCATGGAAACTTAACACATTACTGTGACAAACTTATTTTATTATGTTTTGTGGTTGATATTTTCAAATACAGACTTCATCCTCAAATTCATTATAAATGGCAATACACAGGAGTGTATGACAATTAAAGAACTTTTTGAGGGACCGGTAGGGGACTACTGTATTGCCCGCAATACTATCAAATGCTTGTTTTAATTTGATACTTCTTTTTCAGGAATATTTATGTCTGTTGGGAAATTACAGAAGTACATCAATAGGCCATTTGAATTTAATGGTACATTGAAATCTAAACCTATACTTCTATCAGACAGCAAAGGCAGTTATATACATTCAAATTTTCGTAATTATTTGTAATTCATTTCGAATTCATTTATCGTGGTGGAGCCAGACTTGGAGACCAATATCACTGGTTAACAAGAAATTTAAAAAGTAGAGTTGAATTTTATGGTTCAGTTACTCTCTATATTTGGTTAGGTACTTGTGACCTTACATGTCGTGAAAGTGGCTCAAAATTTATTGTTTTACGACATGGGTCTGACTCTGAGTGTTTTAGTTATATGGTTTATTGGATTCAAAAATATGAAAATTTTGTTTCCAGATTTCCATCTGTGAGGATTATATGGTTAGATATACCTCCATATTCAATTTCCCTTTGGAATAAGAGTCGTTTTCATGGGAACTCAGAGCAGTTTAAGACTCAAGATTTTTTGTTTTTGTTTTTGTCAATGACTATTTAAAGTCAATTAATTCTAGACGTGGTTATTCGTCAATTGGTTTTAGGGCTGATCTTCTTCATTACAGAAAGAAAAGTTCTAAATCTTCCAACAGGTCATCCATTAATTTTAATTTATACAAGGACGGTATTCATCCAGGCTTAATTTTGTCTAAGTACTGGGCAAGGCGTTATGCACAAAGAGCAATTGTTGACTGTTCTTAGTGTTTGTTTTCTGGGGTGTGTCATTGGTGTGGTTGGGTGCTAGTAGGTAGGGATTGACCCAATCACTGTACTGGCTGCACTTTTGGCTCATTTTGGATGCAGATGCTGGGGTTGGTTGACATTGTTTAGAGTGTATTTGATAACTGTTTTCAGCATTGTACTGTATTTCAAATTACATACATGTACATTGCTACATTGTTTTTATATACATACTGTGATTTTTAAATTGTGTTGTTATAAATAAAGGTTGATTGTGAAATCTTTGCAAATTTCACATTTCTTGTTTAGTGTGTGTGTTATTTTGACACAATTAGTTGGTCCATTGGTTGTTTAGAATCTTCATTTACTGTTGTTTGTGTTTGAATATTTACTGTTTTTCGCCAACTGAACTATTTTTAAAGTGTTCTATTCTGTGTAGCTCATTTCTTTTATTTGAATAATGGCTTCTCAGGGTGCTGATGGTGGTCAATCTAAAAGTTTATCTCAAGTTATAGATGAGATAAATAAAGGTCAAGATTTTAGGGTTGTTTCTAAGACTGAATATGATAAATTTATTGATTTTCAAAAGTCTTCTTTCTCACAGAGTACACCTCATTTGAGTAGTAAACCTAATGTAGGAAGAGGTAGGGCTTCATTATTTGCTAATTTAGCTGACCATACTCCAGATAAGACACCGCATAGTTTATTTAGTAAACCACATAGTGTAAGTTTTCCTTTTCAGACTGTAGATGAATTATCTGTTGATGATCATTACAGTGATGATAATTACAATGAGGGGCACATTAAAAAGGATTCTTTTAACTCTACAATCCTTGGTGCTCACTACATTCCCAAACTTCCAATTTTTAGTGGTTCTGAAGATGTACCTAAGGGTGAGGTCAAGTTTGATGTTTGGCAATTTGAAGTCAAATGTTTAATAAGTGACAGCCATACTCCACAGTCCCTTATTCTTCAAGCTATCAGAAACTCTCTGAAAGGTCAAGCTAGGTCCATGTTGGTTTCTGTAGGAGAACAAGCAACTCCTTCAGATATTATCAATAAATTAGATGGTTTTTATGGAACTGTAGAAAGTGGTGAGGACTTGATGCAGTTGTTTTATAATGATTGCCAGAAACCAACAGAAACTATTGTTTCCTTTGGAGTTCGGTTAGAAGAAACTCTTTCTAAGGCAGTTCAAAAAGGTCACATTGATAATGTTGCGAAAGATTCGATGCTTCGCAACAAATTATGGATAGGTTTGTATGATAAGGACTTGAAAAGAACTACCCATCATTTGTACAATAATATTAAGGATTTTAGGTCTTTATTGCGTGAAATTAGGAAAGTGGAGCAACAAGAATTGGCAAGTGTAACTAGGTCAAATTCTTCTTCTAAACCTAAAGTGGTACAACAACAAGTAGGTCAAGTAGAAAATCAGAATGATTCAAATGCTCTGGTTTTAAAACAGTTACAAGAGCTTATGAACAGAATGAAGACATTAGAAACCAAAATGGAGTCTTCATCTGCAAGTAACCAGCAGCAATTCAGAAATAATAACTTTTCTGGTGGTTACAGTAGAGGTAGGTTTTATAACTACAATCAGAATAGGGGTAGATATAACAATTCTGGTCAGTATAGGGGCCAAGGTAGAGGTTATGGTAGAGGTTTTAGAAATGGAAGTAACAGAGGTAGTACCAATGGCCAAGGTATTACCCCTGATAGTTCAAAGGATGTTAAACCACAGCCTGATCCTTTAATAGTCTTAACTGTTGATAAGAAAAGAAAATGCTTATAAATTTGCATTTTGTTTACACTTACATTAATTATTGACGCAAGAGGTGATCTTGTAAGCCAAAGCACTTGGTAGATAATTTCAGTTGCACATTAGCTCTTGCGTAAAATGATGTTTGACTTTGAGACCAAGTCCCCCACCCCTCAACTGATACCCCTCAACTTTGGGTCAAGCCTAGCGGTAGCCCCTTGATTTTTTTTGTGTCCACTTAGGCTTCGAGTTGAATCAATGATCTGAGAAATAATTGTTAATGGTACATAAACAGATACAATTTTAAACTAAGTGTTAATATTTTCAATAAACTAGATCTATTCTGCTAATTATAGAAATTAGAATTGACCGTTTTGGGAATATTGACCTTTTCGAAAACCTAGCTAAACACCGTTTTCCGGTACGTTACCATTTTAGCTCTGGGGAATTACACCAAATGAAGTACATAACACAGTTACAAGATATGCCTATTTTTCTATCATTATTTAACTGTTTTAGGTGAAATAAATTGATGTTTTTGAAAATTATCAATATTTGTTTCATATCTATTGCAAATTATTAAATTATTAAAAATAAATAGTTTATAACGAAAATAAATAAAAATCAAACAGACGTAGTGGAATCTTCCATATTAAATAAGGTTATTTTCTGCGTAAACTTGTGTATTTACTTTATTTTTTTATGGAATTATTCATACAATGATATTTAATTATTTTCATATAAAGAAATAAGTGTTTTATTTCAGTTTAATTTTAAAAAAAGGCCGAAAACATTGACTTCGCTATTACACTCCATTAGGTGAATTCCCCAGAGCTATGTACAGAAAGTACCGGAAAACGGCGTTTAGCTGGGTTTTCGAATTTGTGAATTGACTCACAGACCTACAGTACAGGTACCATTTTGGTGAAAATGGTTTTGTCAAACTACTGGTTCGGCAAACTAATGTTATACAATAAAAAAGTTTGTGGTTTCGGCTGTGACGGTAGATTCTGTCCCAGGTTTCGGCTAAGCACAGATTTATATTACAATATACAATGTATATCTGTGGCGAACTGAATTTAAAGTGTTAAAAATATCTATTGAAGGCCTATATGATATAAAGGCTATATTGGACACGCCAATAGTCATACATGAAGGTGTTAATTTGTGGTTTAACATGCAATTTCATGCAATTAAAGACAAGCTCTTTGAAAATTTGAACTTTTACTTTATTCAATATTTTCTTTAGTATAATAACTTTAAAATATTCAGAATCTGTCACACTTTTTCATATATTAAGTTCACTGAACTGGTAGTTCACCAAAACCACTATAATTGGTACCATTATAACTGGTTAAAACTGAGTTTGAACTGTCAGACTGTAATACATTCAGTAGAAAGAAATGGACCAAAAATGATATTCCATACTTCAGAAATGTGAAAATTTATTAGAATATCTTTTTTTTTCAGGAAATATATAAATTAAAAACTGAACACACTTGACCTAAAGAATGGATTCAAAAAACCTGCAGGAACTCTCCGAACATTTCACAACAAAATTAGATGGAATTGGAACATTACTCAACCTTCGGGATGCTTGCCAAGACCACACATGCATTGAACAGCTACAGGTAACAAGGACTAAGTTTTGACCCTTTTCAGATTGCTTATGCATGATTGCCCATATACAATTTTTAGTTCACTGTTCTGGAGATTATCATCTTTGCCTGGCACTGCCATAATTGATCAGATGTAACACTTGGTTAAACAAAGGTCTTCCTTGAAATATATCTCATTATCAGCAGAAGCAATTAAGGCATTTAAATATCAAATTTTTATCATGTTCATCTTAATGATTTTTAGGTAATGTTAATTTTTTTCAGAAATACTCATTTACAAAATCACTCGGCAAGCTAAAAGTTTTGATTTTAAAGATAGATTATAGGTTGTGTTATTAGGTTAGAAAATATGGCAATCAAAGATTAAATGAAAATCTTGATTGACAGTCTTTTTGTTATTTAATCTCCTAGATATATGCTTACACAAGCATGTGAGATAAAAGCTACCATAAATAATAGTCTTCCCACATATGAGTTATGTAGAGCCATCATGGTGCTCTTGTCTTACGGTTAAGCAAGATGACCATTCTGTAATAAAATTTGAAGTTTAGAAATTTAACGACATTGCAATAATAATTCTATTCTTTTATCTTTTATAGGCTTTACAGACTGAGCTTAGAACACAAGAAAAAAATGTATCATTGCTAAGGAACCAGCTTGCTGCCAAACAAGAAAGTCTTAAAAGAATAAAGGTAGGAGTTTTTATTCTTACCATGTTAAATATCTTTAATGGACTTTTCCATCTTTTGGATGTAGACAAAACCATTCATCATGTTTTAAGAGCAATTTCAAAGTATATAATGACAGAATAGCAAGCAATGCAGACCATGATCAGATGTCACAGATCTTTTGTCTGTACTGGTTGTGTGGGTAGAATCTGTTACCTACAGCAGGTTGAGTGTTAAAATGTTGTCAGATCTTTCACAGTCTTTGGGGTTAAGTAAATATTTAATTCAAAAATGGTTATACTTACTGATTTGGAAGAAGCAAAATTGTCTGGTTTTGCATGATAAATTATTGTCATTCTATTATATTGTTTGTTTGAAAAGACAATTGTCATTGGATGGCTATGATTTTTTATTCATTTTAATAGTTGTTTTTTTCCAGAGGATATTACACATTCATAAATGTTGTTTTTCACAAAAAAGGCCAAATCCTTGTAAATATACTTAAAAGGCAGGCTGGTTGGGGGAAATATTCACAATTTAAATTTTTTTACAGTAATTTTATCAATTGGAAAAGGCCTGTATACACACAAAAGAAAAAAATCACTGATTATATATATTCTAATGTTTTTGCAACTAATATTGTTAAATGTTATCACTGTGAATATCAGTGAGGGATAATTAATATCTTACTGTTTGAAACTGAGTGAAACTTTGTCAGTTGCAACAGCAATTTTTTCAACCTATGGGCAGTGGCTTTCTGACGGGGAATATTATACAATTATTGACTAGTGTGCCATTGAATATGATGTGATATTCACCAGCAGATGACATATTGACAGAGGCGATAGCAGAGGTCAATATGACTTTCTGCTGGTGAATATCACATCATATTTCAGTGTTTTTTTCTTTATATAACTACTACCCTAAAACGGTACCATTCCCAATAGAAAATAGACATTAAAATTCCCAATTTCCAATGTTAAATTCTCAAAATGGCTGTTCAAAATGCCCACAAGGCCAAGTGATTTTTCTAAAATCATTTAAATCCAACATTCTCATTTAAATAACACTCAATAGTTCTATTTCAGCTGTTAGCTATCTTTATTCATGATGTCTAATCTCATTTGTAGCTGAAAAAATGCATAAAAAAAATTCCCAATTTTAGTCAAAATAACGCTTTTTTTCCCAATCAGTCTGGTACCGGCACCATTCCCAAAGTAGAGAAAAAAACGCTGTATTTAATGGTTCACTTGTCAATAATTGTTTTTTATGCCCCCATTTCGAAGAAAAGGGGGTATATTGCTTTGCACTTGTCGGTCTGTCGGTCCGTAGACCAAATGGTTTCCGAGTGATAACTAAAGAACCCTTAGGCTTAGGAACAACAAACTTGGTATGGTGATTGGTCATGACCAGTAGATGACCCCTATTGATTTTGGGGTCAAAGGTCAAGGTCACATTGACCTTGTAAGCAAAAGCAGTTTCCGATCAATAACTAAAGAATGCTTCGGCCTAGGAACTTCAAACTTGGTATGGTGATTGGTCATGATCAGTAGATGACCCCTATTGATTTTGGGGTCAAGGCGTCAAAGGTCAAGGTCACATTGACTTTGAAAGCAATAACGGTTTCTGATCAATAACTAAAGAACCTTAAGGCCTAGGAACTTCAAACTTAAATGGTGATTAATCATGATCAGTAGATGACCCCTATTGATTTTGGGGTCAAGGGGTCAAAGGTCAAGGTCACATTGACCTCTTTGGTAAAAACGGTGTCCGATCAATAACAAAAGAACCCTTAGGCCTAGGAACTTCAAACTTGGTATGGTGATTGGTTATGACCAGCAGATGACCCCTATTGATTTTGGGGTTAAGGGGTCAAATGTCAAGGTCACATTGACTTTGTAGGTAAAAACGGTTTCCGATCAATAACAAAAGAACCCTTAGGCCTAGGGACTTCAAACTTGATATGGTGATTGGTCATGATCAGTAGATGACCCCTATTGATTTTGGGGTCAAAGGTCAAGGTCACATTGACCTCTTAGGTAAAAAACGGTTTCAGATCAATAACTAAAGAACCCTTAGGGCTAGGAACTTCAAACTTGGTATGGTGATTGGTCATGACCAGCAGATTACCCCTATTGATTTTGGGGTTAAGGGGTCAAAGGGCAAGGTCACATTGACCTTGTAGGTAAAAATGCTTTCCGATCAATAACTTATGAACACTTAGGCCTAGGAACTTCAAACTTGGTATGTTGATTGGTCGTGACTAGCAGATGACCCCTATTGAGTTTTGGGTCAAGGGGTCAAAGGTCAAGGTCACATTGACCTTGTTAATAAAAACGGTTTCTGATCAATAACTTAAGAACGCTTAGGCCTAGGAACTTCAAACTTGGTATGGTGATTTGTCATGACCAGCAGATTACCACTATTGATTTTGGGATCAAGGGGTAAAGGTCAAGGTCACATTGACTTTGTAAGTAAAAACGGTTTCTGATCAATAACTAAAGAATGCTTCGGCCTAGGAACTTCAAACTTGGCAAGGTGATTGGTCATGACCAGCAGATGACCCCTATTGATTTTGGGGTCAAAGGTCAAGGTCACATTAACCTTGTAAGTTAAAACAGTTTCCGATCAATAACTAAAGAACCCTTAGGCCTAGGAACTTCAAACTTGGTATGGTGATTAGTCATGACCAGCAGATGACCTATTGATTTTGGGGTCAAGGGGTCAAAGGTCAAGGTCACATTGACCTCTTAGGTAAAAACGGTTTCCGATCAATTAACTAAAAACACTTAGGCCTAGGAACTTCAAACTTTGTATGATGATTGGTCGTGACCAGCAGATGACCCCTATTGAGTTTTGGGTCAAGGGGTCAAAGGTCAAGGTCATGACCAGTAGATACTTGATAACCCTTATTAATTGTTTGATCACTGGGTCAGAAGTTATTCATAAGAACCTTATCACATGACTAATTGGCTGCCGATAGGGGGCATACATGTTTTACAAACATATCTTGTTTTATTATATGAAAAGGCTATAAAAGTTTAAAGAAAATCACAGTAAATACAACCTTATACATGTACAACTTTTGTCTGTTTTGTTGAAGCGCGGGAAAAAGATGCACATGGAAGGTGTGCAACAACTACGCTAACAATGCGCATACAAAAGTAATTCAAGTTTATACTCATGATTGCGGTGTAACTTTTCTCTTAAATAGTAATGAATTGATATTTTAATCGAGAAATATACCATAAAGAACAAAACGCAACAATTATATTTTCAATAACCACGTGTAATTAACAGTCAACGATATATGGTCATTGAATATTAGTCTCAAACTATTTTTAGACTGGGAAAATCCAATTTAGCCAGTGAATATGATACTTCACCCAGTGAATATGATTCTATAAAAAGTTCTTACGACTTCTGTTTGGACCAATGAGATTGAAGCTATATTAAGATCATATAATAAAGCATGATAAACCAGAAATGGGTGGGGGGGGGGGGGCAATCTGAAATATAATTTAAACAACTGAAAACATTTAATAAAATTTTCAAATTGATTCAATTTAACATGCATGGTACATAGCAGAGACTATCTTTTATCTATAGGGTCAGCTTTCTGTCTTTCAGTCAATTAAATCTATCAACTAGCTGAAATAAGTCAGCTGCTTTTAAATCATGTTTCTAGTGAAGAAGTGCACAGCACAATTAAGGGAAAATACAGCAGTTTTAGGGGAAAATATATCTATTTTGGGCTAGGGGAAACAGCCTTTATTCAGCTATAAAAGTACAAGAAAAAAATCACTGAACAGAATCTACAAAGACCACTTTTACAGTTTCCCCTTAGTGGCCTTTGTTGAGAAGTTTGACTGTATAGTGCAAAGGCTTTTTGAATAGAGGCAGGTCGACACAGCACACAGGTGGCTTCAATGCTTTAATAAAATCTAAGGAAATCCTTTTATATATATATATATATATAAATATTATGATATTACACATTTCAGTGTTTAAATAGCATAATGATTGAATGGAAGAAGAAACTTGAATATATGGTTGAAAATATTCCGGAGAGATTACCTACACGTAAAAAGAACATTCCATGGTAGGTTTTATTATTTATATTTGAATATTATCAATACACCCATAAACAATTTCCGAACTACAGGCAGGCTATTCTTTTCAGTAGTTTTTCAAGTAAAGTTAACCAGTTGGGTATCTCGCTGTATAAATCATATGTAAAATGGTCTGACATATGGCAGGTTTAACTGTTAATTTATATACTTTATTGTCAAAACATGTGTTGAAGTATAAATTGTGACAAAGCTAGGGTCAAAAGATTTCCATTGGTGTAGTAAATTTTAAAATCAAACTTTAAATCACAACAAACTAGCAATTTAATAACGGTTTAATTTGTATTGTTTTAGCATAAGAAATATCGATTTTACTAGAAGACAAGGGAAACAACTTGTATTTATTCATTTGATATACCTCGGTTGTTTATCATATGTAGTTCATATAGAAAGTGTTGATGGGTGTATTAATTTATGCTCCCCAATACTGTATAGTAGTGTATATAGTTGCTTCTCCAGATGTAGTGTTCTTGTTTTAAATTTGATATACGCAATTTGCAACATTCTCACCTATTTCGCCATTATTGATGGGAGTCCCACAACCATGAACAAATTATGTTACATAAAAAGAGTCGGTCCAGCGAAATTAAATCTTTTACATTATGTGAGAAAGCTATACAACTAGCCTATGGAAAGTCGAACGGTGGTTGTACTTAGACACTCACTCTTGCATGGGTCGCAGCTGGTTGCACTTAGATACCCCCTCTTGCATTGGTTGCAGCTGGTTGCACTTAGATACCCCTACCCCTCTTGCATGGGCCGCACCTGGGGTCTTCCTCCCCCATCAAATCTACATAGTCAGCATATCAGCATAACCTTAAAAGTGTCGGTTAACTTAAAACACAACAAACATGTATCATATGAAGTACAAGTTTCTTGAAACACTTCTGTATAATTGTATTTCAGTGATGAGCTGGCAACCACAGCTAAAGGTCCGGTGATGGTTGTGAAGGCATTGACTCATAGTGAAGCTGCTACAGAAACAAAATGTGAACAGCAGGGAGCTTCTCAACAACAAGAAGCGAATCAACAAACTGGGCGGCTAGAAAACACATACTTTCCTGAGATAGAATTCTTAACAACAGAGGAATTCGAACAGGTTCCAAAGTGGGTATTATTTTGGTACCAGTATTGGAAAATGTAGAAATGCCATTATGCCAATCTCAGATCTGTTTGTCAAAGGGTTTGCAACTATCTATTATTGATTTCAGGGATTTTAATTTCATACATGTTTAATAATCAGGATTGGAAATTTCTGCTAGCATATTCGCAAAATGGGAATGAATTTTGAAAAATTGCAAGTGATTTCATCTTACATTGGCAATTTTTTTTAAGTTGTTTTGGTAAATGAAAATAGAACGTGTGAGCTACATGTATGCAGTGCCTGCATTGACAGGATGTTATTTCAATTTGACAACTAACCTAGGCAATATGAGCAATTGATTTTAATATCAATCACTTTTAGTTCCAGTAGATTATGTCCAATTTGAATAAAAGAATGACTAAATTATGTATTGGAAGCTGCGTTCCCTATTACAATTGGTCTTTTCTTTAAAAATCTGCCAGTTCTTTTAATGACATTATTATATATATCATATTGTAACCACCTATAGTGTCTACTTTGTGTGAATTTGAAACATGTTTATTTTATATTTACAAAGAGACTGTGTAGGAATTATAAATACTTACAAATATAAAATTTGAGCATAGCATATCTTTTAAGCATTGTGTATTAATATCAATTTCTTTCATTTACTGTAACAGATACATAAAGGGTCGCATAACATACGACAGTGTGAACAAATTCATTGAAGGAATGAATAAATCCTATAGAGCCAAATACAAACTTCTTAAACAGAAAAAGGCGACGTTAAATTATGCAAATAGGAAGAGGTGTGAAGCTTACAAGGCCCAGGAAACAATAGAAACTAAGGGTATGGGTTTTGTAAATAGCCAAATTGTTTGATTTTTCAAATTTCATACAAAATTGTATCAAACTAGCATAGCATAGCTGAATGTTTAGTAATGTGTCATAAAGGTAGGAAAGGTGTTAACAAAATAGTATTTTGACTTATACATACATACAAAATGCTAATTAGTCCCCTACCGGTTTGCCGGAGGGGACTTTAGGTTTACTCTTTGTCCGTCCGTCCGTCTGTCCATTCATCTGTCCGAGCCAACATTTGATTATTATGAGCTTCATTCCGTAGTTAAATAAAAAACATAAACTCATAAAATTCAAATTAAGAGCTATTTTTTTGTTTTTAAGAGCTTATTTTGGTAATGGACATTGGTCCAGGTGGTGTTTACAAGCTCATTTGCCTCATAAACATCAAATTTTGGTATGTCCGTCCGTCTGTCAGTCTGTCAGTTCACAAAACTGGATCCCGGGATAACTTGAAAAGTACTGAAAATTTTTTTTATGATACTTGGTATATGGATAGATGGCAGTATGGAGATTATGCACGTCTTTTTCTTTTCTTCCTATGTTGAAAATTCTGGTTGCTATGGCAACAAATAGGCTGAAAATATGGCAAATTTTACACATAAACTGGATCCAGTGATAACGCGAAAAGTACTGGAAATATTTTTATGAAACTTGACATATGGGTAGATGGCAGTCTTGAGATTATGCACCTCTTTTTCTTTTCTTCCTATGTTGAAAATTCTGGTTGCTATGGCAACACATAGACTGAAAATATGGCAAATTTTACTCATAAACTGAATAAAGTGATAACTCAAAAAGTACTGGAAATATTTTTATGAAACTTGACATATGGGTAGATAGCAGTCTTGAGATTATGCATGTCTTATCTGTTCTTTCTTTTTTGAAAAAAATATCAGTTGCCTTGGCAACAAATAGGCTTAAAACATGGCAAATATTACAATATTTCTGATTAGTCAAAAAGAGCTGAAAATTTTTATGAAATTGCATCTTTAATTCAAGAGTTATCACCTCTTTAAGTATTTTGCTTTTAAAATGTTATATTTTGGTAACAGGGATGTTTCAAATATTAACTTTAGAGTGTCATTCAGTCCATCTGTCTGTCTGTTCATAAAAATTGTTTCCTGTGATCACTTTTAAAGAACTTTTCCAACAAATTTACTTAAAATAGAGAAAATTGAAACATTAGTTAATGGCCAATGGCCCTTCAGAATGTTGATGGGGTTCTAACCAGTAGGGGACTTATGGATTGCTTGCAATTCTATGATAATTGCTTGTTCACTATGGATATACCAATTGCCAACAAAGCAAAAGAAGCAATAGATAGGTAATTTATGCGGCAAATTGGCATTTTAAGGAAACTGTAACAAGAAATGAAAAATAAAAAGCTTGTGCATAATAAGCAATTTAGCATTACTGAGACATTATGGGCCTTTAAGAGAAATTCACAAATGTAGTTTGTAGTTCTGTTACATCACACATAACAATAAATAAGTCTGGGCTCATTTTGATAACATTTATCAATGCCTTAAGCCTCAGCCTTCCAAACAAATCTATTTACATGTATTTCTCATTTTCTGATATATTACAATTATCAAAATTTGAAGACAAATAATAGAAAGAGCATTGGCACACAAGGCTATCTGATTTTTACGAAGGTGCATAGCCTCTTTCTCAAATGTATCGTAGGCAAAAAAAGCAACACATTCCCTGTTGTCACAATAAGAAACCCCAGGATAAATGAACCAATGTACAAGCATCTTCATACGATTTTTCTATCATCCCTTTCCCTGTCGTCACAATAAGTAAACTTCAGATAAGTATAGCCAATCAACTAGCAAGCTTTTTTTTTTATCCCTGACAATGTGGTAACTGGAGTGCTGGTAAGTAATACTCGATTCCAGTTTACACGCTGTACTATTATACGATTTAACTCATGCACATTTTCAACAAAAAGATCTCTAAACTATGATACAGTACAGTTGTAATATATCTTAGCATTTATTACACTTAAGCATTTATTATACATGTACTTTTACTTATAAAAAAAGACATACACATAATGTAGATTTTTTTTTCTATTCATTCAGGTGTATGATTCATAAAATCAATGTTTTTTTTTCAGGATGTTATTTCATTGTTGATGAGGATCTTAAAGACACAGGTGGTTTGAAGATCGATAATGTGGCTCGTTCTACATTGACGATTATACGGCATTGTGGGAGATGTAGAGAAGTACACGGGGGACGTATCACAAGATATGTTTACGTAGACAACTATTAGTTTGAGAGGGAGAGAATGGTTCCATTTCTATCAAAGCAAAGAGAAAAAACTGTTGTTGTATGGTACCTCATAACAAGATAATTTTGTTCTATACAGAGTCTTTGTAGAGATAAATTGTTTATTATAGTGACATGTGTTAACAACATACAATATGAACATATTTTTACAAAATAGAATAAAGCAACACTCGTCCACATGGGCTTATAAGTCACCTTAAATAACAGACTAAATTAAGCACATGTGATCAAATGCTACGGTGTATTGTCAGCTGAACATGTTAAGCATATGATGACAAATATAAATGTAGATATATAATATATACATGTATGTTAATAATTAAAAAGAATTTGTATTTGAATAAGAGATATGTAAACTTTGAAAGGGTATCATTCTACTAAGTCATTCAATTATACTGTATTAATTTTCTATATAAGAACATGCAGTTATATTAAATGTACAGAGAAAGGATTTGACCAGAATTATTAATGATATTGGATACAAAAAAAAGTTTAAGGATGATGTTTAAACTTATGCTTTTTAATGAGATACTAAAATACATCTATGAGATATTATGTCATACCCCACTGTTTGAAGCTGAAAGAAATATAGAATTTAGGGTCTCATTCTGTTCATTGTAAAACATAAGAAAAGATCGCGCAAAATGTATAATGATATAATTTTGTTATTTGGCATCATTTTGGGTAATGTCTGGCATTTTTTTTTAATGAAAAAAGTATAGATGTTTTACTTGTGTATAGTAGTTTAGAAAATATTAAGAATTTCTCAATGAGATATTGTCAAGAATTGCATGGGGTTGCTTGTTTTCAATGTATTACTAATACTGGTATATCCATATCATATTTCTTAATATTTTACATGATTAATATAAAACCTTATGATGTTAGCAGCTCTATGTGATGAAATATGTTACATCAGTTGAAAAATGAGCCGCCTCACGACAAAACAAACATAGTGCATTTGCGACCAGTCTGATCAGGATCCATGCTGTTCGCTATCAGTTTCTATATTTGTTAAAAGGTTTAAAAGCGAACAGCATGGATCCTGATCAGACTGTGCAGATGCGCAGGCTGGTCTGGATCCATGCTGGTCGCAAACACATTATGTGGTTTTGTCGTGACGCGGCTCATTAATCTCAGACTGCTTGAGATGGTTGTTTATCTTGATACCATGTTTTGTTTATACAGCAATTATTTTAGATTATATGAAGCTATAAAATTATAGATACTCTCTCAGATCTGCTCCTGGAACCAACCAGTACTGAGCATTGGGTGTAAAGTTTCTTGCTAAATGTAACAAGGGCTTGTCTCTGATTGGGTTTGAACCCTTGCGGATAGTGATCCTTGGTTTACTAGTCCAACATGTTAACCACTTGGTCATGTCGACACTGTTCTAAATAGTTTTTATGTACCTATGACACTAGTTTGTTTTTACTTGGATTCTGATGAATATTACTTTATTTTATGTAAGCACTTAATCCTAAATATCATTTGTCTCCCATGGCTATTTCATAAGTAGTTGGTCCTTTGAAGAGAAGTTGGTGATGACCTTGTATCAAGGCGAGATGACCAAAACGTGTTAAACATAAAAAATATGTGACTACAGGGTCTTTCAAATATTTATATATATATGATTATTTAATAAATGCATTTATACTTTCATCTGGTGTTTGTTACACGATCTCGATGTATATTTAATTATTTATAAGGATAAATGAGCATGCAGTGCTCATGTGAGCTTTTAAAGATCGATGCGTATCTGTTGTCAAGTCTATCTGGGACCCAAAATTTTGATTGATTGTACAAAAGAAGCTACAAAGTTTTTATTTGAACCAAAATGCGCTGAAGTTTATTCAGTTGAACTTAGTTCATTTCATAAAGCACCCTGATACCATCATGTCTGACTCCAGAGTTGTCGCCCCTTACAGACCCTAAACAAAAAATTGTCTAAGTGTAACAGAAGATCTACGATGTAATTTGAAGATCTCGTGCATTCCCGAGTTGTGGCCCCTTAAAGAGTGGAATAGGTATAGTAATTCAAATTTTAGTTTTTATTTAGACTATTCAGAGAATAAGGAGATCTCTAGTGATCATGCACCCAGGCGTCGGCTTTCACACCGGTTAAGTTTCTGCATTCAGATATTGTCCAGCATTATATTTCTTATAATGGGCATTCATCAAGGTGCAGCATGCATAAGCACCTGTCTTTTTTCAGATGAAGTCAGTAGATGAGTTTACTACCAAAGAAGATAGCAAATACTTTGAATAATGCACTAGACGATTGTAAACCCGCTGTCGCCTTTTTATCACACGCGTGGTAGTAAAACGCGACCCCGGCCCCATCGTTTAAGGGATATTTAGGGCACCAGGCCTTGCATAGCTGAGAAGCTCTCATGATAAAAGTCCCCGTTTGTTGTCCTCATATTGTAAGTGGGACATATAAAACTAAAAAAAAAAAGAAAAAAAACAAAACAAAACAAACAAAAAAACATCGACTTGATCATGCAGTACGGGGATAAACTTGAGGCAAAAGTGTTAATTTCTCAGCTATCTTTGCTTTTCATTTGGGATTTGGGACAAGGGTTACATTTGGGATCAGGGTTACATTGGGATTTTGTGACCAGGGTTACATTTGTCCTGGTGCACGGATAGTTAATTATCATAGACTTTGCTTTCATATAATATACATACTCAGCTTGCATAAATTACTAACACTTTGTACAATAGTTAAAATTTTTAATTTCATTTATTATAAATTTTTTTACATATAAAAATTGCAAAACAGTTGAGAGAATAAATGTCACGCACTTGTTGGTACTTAAATTTGATTGAAATAGTAGTTAAAACACATCGGGTATATTAATACATCGTATAGTATAAAAATGCTTTAACTATATGAAAGATACATTGTACAAGTAATTCGATTGGTTAATAATTCCATATTTTATTGATCTTAACATTTTTAATGACATTAACCAACTTTGTTTTACTTTTAAGCCTTTACATTTATACTATAACAGTTTTCACTTTTTGCACGTGATACACTATATCATAAGGACGACCTTAGTAAACAGTTTATTTGCAAATGCGGATTTGATGATCAGAATTGTGGTGTATGTAAAGATGTGTTTTCAATCAAAGTCCTAGCCAACCTGGTTCGGGTCAACATGTCGGGCTATTTCAGCCTGGAACTGGATACATCCAAGGTTGTCGGGGTTGGTCGGATCGTCTTTTACGGATATTGTCACTCTGTATTTTCCCTTAAACAGAAAAAATAATGTTTTGAAGGAAAACCCACATATTTCGCTCACTTAAATGAATTACTGTTAGTGACACGTTTTTATACATCATGTTCTGATATATTTAAATATAGTAGTAAGTAAAATAGTTTTCAAATTTCTGAGCCTGTGACAAACTATTGGGAAAGGCAAATGAAGATTGGCACCGCGTTATCTCGGTTCACTAATGATAACGACATAAATATAAGAATTATAAAGCACTAAAACATGATAAATGTTCCTTGTGCAGTGCTGAAATAAATAGTATAATAGTATTTAACTAAAATAAATAAAATGATATTTATCGATCGCTCACGTCCCAATTGGACGCTGACACCGGGTGGCTTATCTAGTAGATAGTTGCCTGTCCCGGTTATATTATGTCCCACAAAAAAAAACAAAAAACTTACTTGTGAAATCAGACTAAGACTAGATGGTAGAGATTGTAGAGTAAGAGACTCATTGTTAATAACCACTGACTCGGGACTTATTGGGCATTGGGCTTTATTGGGCATTGGGCTTTGTGTCCTAACGCCTTCAACAAAATTGCATCGATTTGTTGGCCAAAATCCTGGGATACGACGGATGATCCTTTCAGTATATTGTCCAATATTGTGCAAGAATCAATATTTTGGCTGTAAAAAGTAAATATTTAATTATTTTACTTATAATCGCTTTTCTGATTTCTCTGTGAGACTTCTAGTTCAAACGTGCTTGGTGCCTTGATATATCCAAAATTGAATATTAAGTTATGCACATTCACAATAATAAAAAACATAATAATGTTATTTCCCTTAACCACTACATCCGACAGGAAGAAACAAAACAACTAACTTCATTGTATTTTTTGGTCTCGCAGTGGGACTGACTGGCTGACTGACCGACCGTGTATTTCAATTCCGTAATATACATTACATACAATTACATATACATGAATTCATATATTTATAAATTCAAAATAAATTTATATAATCTTTTAATCATTGTAAATTACATATCATCAAACGTAATATATATCAATCAACATATATTCATACATTACTGCATACTGTATGCAAAAACGAGTCTCACTCGTTAGCATTTCTAAAGGCAGCCACGCCTATCATCAAGGAACGCCCAATGTGGGCATTAACACAAGTACATTTACACTTGCATATTCTTTATGAGAGAAACCTATCATAAACACAAACAAAAATACATATAATTATGTATGACATGAATCAGACATTACAGCCACGTTCCGAGAAAAAATGATTACTAAAATACTTATAAAGTATTTACAGTCAAAAAAGTCATTAAAGAAAATAACACATATCTTAATAAAAAATTAAACGCATGTATCGGACAGTCAATCCCAAAGCTGAATGACTTACACACTGAAAAATACGCACGTGCAAAACGTGCGCAAAACGACACCTGTCGGAACTACGTTATCAAGGGAAATCAATTTTCGACTAATTCGCTTTGCTTAAACGTCGAAAATTACATTTCCCTTAACCACTACATCCGACAGGAAGAAACAAAACAACTAACTTCATTGTATTTTTTGGTCTCGCAGTGGGACTGACTGGCTGAACCTAAAAGAACGGGCTGCAATGTAACGGTTCGTACATTCATAAACCAAGAGATTTTGAAACTCTGAGTCTCTCATCAACTGAACTTTTTACATAACCATCTTTTGCGGTTTCACTTTGCCATCTCCCATGGCGCTTAAATAACCTATCAGGTATGCCATTATTAGCAGCAGCAGTAGCTCCTCCTGCCCTTAGAGAATGGCTACAAAACTTATTTACATCATCAACTAACTTTTTAAACGACTGTACAAACAAATCTCGGAAATTACTATAAGATAAAGGCTTATCTTGATTCCTTAGCACATGGCCATCTTTAGTAGCAGTAAGACGCCCAAACAGAAAACATTCTGAATCAGGACGGATACCCGTCCAACAAATATATTTTTCTAAATTAGCAACCGGACACAAACACGTGCCGGTTCGGGCTATTAATACCCATGCTCCTTCACGATACCTATCGGTTTTACTTGATTCAATAAAAATACTTAAGTATGAATCATAAAAACAAATATCACTTCTCTTTAACTTCAACACTTCAGCGGATCTCAAAAAACCAGCAAATGCAATTAAACATATACATATAAATCTTTGATTCATAATGTTTTTCTCAGCGTACATATGACTGAACATTTTATGCAATAATTCTACTGTCATAGGTTCCTTCTTATGTATAGGCTTAGCAAGTTTACGTTTTCCACCTTCTATGACATTTTTACTAATCTAGAGTCTGTTGGTGAAGGAAATTCAAACAAATCATGATACCACTTAATGCTATATACAGCATTTAAAATTGGACTTATAGTATTTGCAGTTTGTATTAATGACACTATATATAACGCTACATGGAATGCCTTGGCGGGCAAGGCCTCCCCGCTATTAAGCCCATTGGAAATTACCCATTTACGCCAACGGTTAAATCCTCTCTTGTAACTAAGATATGTACTATCCGCTTTAGATTGTTTTAACAGCTCGGGCAACGAGGACACCTTCTCCACCAAGACATCCGGCAAGCCATCAACTTCACATGCATATCTCTGAAAAAATAAATGTACACACAAAACCATAATAAGTACGATTGTTCAAAGTTAAACCACTCAAGGGACACAACCATACCGTGACACATTTAGTCTGCCTTATTAAAGCATATAAGTAAAGCGAACATTCTAAACTTTAAGTCCCCTATACCAAATAAGCCTGATCCGTTTTTACAAGGCTGGTAGAAATTTTTACCCGAAGGTAAAATAAGATAATCTATTACAAATGATTGAAAAAGTCCATTTTTGGAACATATCAATGGCCAAAAACTAACGGATTTCCATTCAGGTACAATCAAAACACCTCGTGCACGGCATGCTTGCATTTTACACAAAACACGTGGTATCAAAATAATTGGTGGTACAAATAAACCAAATACATTTCCCCAGTTATATGTAAAGGCATCAACACCTGAGGTACCTTCACACAAAAATCTTGAGTAAAAACAATCAAGTTTTGCATTGTGTTTTGAAGCAAAAAAGTCAATTTCTAAATTACCCCACCGGCATTGAATTAAATCTAAAATGTGTAAAGATATGCCCCAATCATCTCTTTCTATAACTTTAGAAAAATGATCAGCTATATCATTCTTTTCTCGGGGTAACCATTCAATTTCTAACTGAATACAGTTTCCATACCATCTTAAAAGATAAGTCTTGTAATTCAGGTTTCATCGAGCCTTTTGAAACTATACTACATACACCTGTGTTGTCACTAAACCATTTGACTCGTTGATAACGAAGTATTTTCACTAAAGCTAACAACACTGTATAAACAGCGCACAATTCTCTCCATGTAGAAGACTTAATCATTTCTGAAGGAGACCATATATCATGCACTATACTAGAACAAGTCTCGACCTCATAACCTGCACACCCAGTGCCACTCGCGTCACTATAAACTATACGCGAACAATTATTTGATTGTGAGAGCTGTTTAATTTTTAAATGCTGTAAATTGTTTTTCCAAAACAACAATTGAGTGATACTATCTGTTGACAATTCAATATAAGAATTCCAGGTGTTTGCTTTAAGAATATCTAAACTCAGCCACCTCGTCATAATTTGAGAAACAGAGCCAAGCACCACACTCATAGAAATAATCTGGCCAACAAAACTGGCGACTTTTCTAACAGGTAAGCGTTTCTCGCTTAATAAAAGATTTACACATTTTAACGCTTTATCAACTCGACATGAAGGTATATGAATAGTAAAGTTATGCGAGTTCAAAATGGCACCTAACCATTGCAGTTCCTGTACTGGTTCCCAGCAAGATTTATCGACTTTTGGCACTAAACCGGATGAAATTAAATCTGACTTTATTTCTTGCGACAAAGTATTCGCATTTATTAAAGTATCGCCAACCCCAAAACCATCGTCAAGGAACATGATAACTTTCTTTCCTTCACCCCGCCATTTTGCTATAAGCGGACGCATTAACTTGGTGTATATATAACACGCTGGTGATAAACCGAAGGGAAGCACCAGAAATTTGTAATAAATTAATTTGCCATTCAAATCGGTCCAAGAAAATCCCAAAAAGTCTGTATGAGGTAAGAATATATCTACAAAATGATAGGCCGAATGTATATCGAATTTTATCATGTAGCAACCTTTTTGAATATACATTAATGCCAAACGTAAATCCTCATATTTAACCGATTGTTTCCAAACATGCAAATTTACGGCACGTAAATCTAATATAAGTCTCTTTTTACCATTATTCTGTATCGATACACTAAGAGGATTAACTACCGTCGGTGCACATTTACATTTCATAATAAGTCCTCTATCTAATAAATTGTTAATAGCCTCAGATACAAAAACACTTTCATTTATTGCAGATCTGTTATTACGAGCAAAACTTTCCGACGGCAAAGAAAAGAAAGGAATTTTATATCCATTCTTGATTGTATCTAAAATGAACGGATTCGCACCAATATCGCACCAAAATTTAATATGAGACTTTAATCTATTTCTTACAATAATATCCTTTTGGCCTTGTTCATATTCAAAAAAGTTTTCTGTGAATCTACTGTGATCAATCTCAAAATTATAATAAGAACTATACTCATCTTTGAAATCTACATCTTTAATTTCTTTATGGACCAGTTCATTTCTTTGCGGGGATGTCAGGTTGTTGAGCAAATCTGGTGTAGGGGCAATTACGTCTGAA